CTGAACGGAGCTGATAGAGGTTTCAGGTTTCTTATTTCTGTTTTGTTTGCCATTGCGCTGTCGTTGCCGTAGCCGTTGCCACTGGTGATTTCGCTGGCGCTTCTGCTGTTTATCAATTTTCAATATTGACCTTTGGCTGTGTTTTGTCTTTGTTTTTGTTTTTGTTTTTTTCCCGCTGTTACTCTGCTCATTTTTTAGGTTTAGTTGAGCTACATTAAATATACAAACAAACATACACACAGTGAACAGCGCCCGGCTAGCCAGCGATTGCGTTGTGTTTGCCTTGCGGTTGGTCTGGCTGGCTCTTCACACCTCTGCGGCAGCCACCTGGTGGAGACTCTAGGGACTAGGCAGGGGTGGTTGGTAGTTGGCTTTGCAGGAAAGTAGGGATAGTGGGAGATGGTATGGTTGTATGGTATGGGCTGGCTTGGGGGAAGATAGGTAGAAGGAATACACACAAATATTTGCGCTATGCAAGGTGACATTTTTCGGGGTTTTCTTTTGGCCGCTCTCCCTGCTTTCCTTGCTCTTTGCTTTTCAGTTAGTAGCTATTAATAGGTGAGCTTGTAGTAGTTTGGACTAGGGCAAGGGGTACAGTGGGAACTAGATAAAGAGAATTTTATATGTTTTTAGATAACTCTTTTTAGTTCTTGGATAAAATTGTACAAAAATTATTAATTTTAGGTTTTAACTAAATAATCATTTTAAATGCCTAATAATTAATAAATTATCCAAGCTATATGATTCTAGGTAATAGCTTTAGGAATTACCCATTATCGCTCAGGAAATAGCAACGAATTGATAAAAAAAATGAATTAAACGGGAAATCCTGAAATACAAATTTCTCTTTAATTGCTAATCTGAAAAACTTAAGAATGAATCACAATATTTCTTATCAAATGATTTTCTTAGGCACTTGTTTCTTATGATTTATGAGTAATTTCAGATAAATGGTTTACCCACCATTACAGGGTATCAAATAACCCATAACTTAGTACTCTTTCTGTAGTACTTTTGCTATTTTTGTTCAGCTTATGCTAAAAATAAAATTGCCATCATGTTGTCAATTGAATTGGAGCGTCGATTTTAATTTGTAGACAGTCTGCAGACTCCCTACAACCCTCTCTCTTTCTCGGTCTCTCCCTCTCTTTCTGTACCGCTCTAATTAAATTGCAATGCAATGTCTGAATAAATCTAGATACATGTGGGAATTCACTCACTCACACACAGTAGCTGGTGCTATTAATGCGTAGATATTTTAGTTGACTGATTAGTCAACGGAAGTTTAAAGTCGACTAGCGAAGTGCACTTAACCCAATTAGCTGAACAAAAGGCGATAAAATAATGGCATTTAATTCAATTCCAAGCGCGAGGGGATTGTCAAGTTTTGAATAAGCCTGCTTGGCTATTTGTTTCAATTTCATTTTCCTTTTGATTTTCTATCTCTTTATTTCTCTATCGATGCTGCGCGAAAATCAGTTCTGCTTTTGCTTTCTAATGACCGGCGTTTCAATGAAAGTTCAATTAGTCTGTTCACAGAGCGAAAGTTTCTGCTAAAAGGCATAAAGAAAGTGAGGCGAAAAAGGGGAAGTAAATATATGGTCTCACTTAAGGGCTTTTGTCCTGCCGTTTTCTCCCCTTTTTTTTATCAATTTTTTTTTTTTTTTTTGGCTCCCTCTCATTAACATTTATTTGGCCTTGTGGCGTGCCAAATAAAATCCCAGAAAAAAAAGAAAAGAAAGGAATTTGTCCCCGCATCCGGCAAACGGTGCAAGTTCAATCTGAGTTTTATTGAATTCATTAAAAGCATTGCACACTTTCCACTTGATTTTTATTTAATTTTTTTCGATTTTCCTACTGCTTGTTTGCATCTTTTTTTTTTTGGTATTTTTATTTTTGGCTTTGCTGACACTTAAACAATTAAAATAGGATTGGTGTGCGGGGGCGGGAGTGGGGTGGTCCTGCGCCCATGGCACACATTGCAATTTCGCTGGCATGGACAAAAAAAAAAGTAAATAAAATTCACAAAAAACTATATGGCATGAATGTATTTAAAATGTAGCCATCGCCTGTCTGTCTGCTCTCTCTCTTTCTGTGTGCAGATTTGGTTTGCAGATTGTATTTTTTTAAATTGGTTTATCCGTTGTTATTGTCCACATTTTTTTTCCATTTTCATTTTCATTTTCATTTTTTCCCTTTGGAATTGGTTTATATGTACGAATACGTATTCTTTGTCTGTTTCATTTTGTCAGATCTGGTCGTAAGTTGTATGAAATTGTCACACGGGGCGTATGGGTGATATGCAAATGAATTTTTAATAGAGGTTAGAGAGTGACAGAGCGATAGAACCATTACACAGGTAAAGGCAATAATTGCCATGTTATGTGTTTAGTTAGGCAATAAAGGGTTAGTTCAGTTGGCTAAACAAAAGGTGGTTGGTCCGAAAAAGTAAGCTAAAAGTGAAAAAATAAACTAAGAAGCTTAGCTATGGCTAGAAAAACTTAAAATATGTTGTATTTTTTAAAGTTTTTTATTATAAAATTATGTTATAAAACGAATTAAGAGGCATACACTCAAGTTCTTAACCTTAAGTCTCAAAAAATAAACCATTTTTATGATAAGAAAGCGGGCAAAAAAAATTTGGCAAACATAAAATTGTTTTACCTTTTTATTTAAATAAATATTTTTAAGACCTTAAGCATATTTAATATTCTTTGTGTTAAGGAGTGCACTTTTCCTCTGCCACATGCCTAGAATTTTCAGCCAACGTAAGTCCGTTGACCACGAAAATTGTTGTAAAAAATGCAACCCACTCCCCTTTTTTAGCTTTTCACCCTCTAAATAACTTTTCGAATGTAATCAATTTATGGTTTTGCCCTTTTTGTGGCTACCTTTGCTGATGTAGAAAAAAGAAAACAGTGTCATAAATTGCTGATGTTAATAAAATTTAATTAAAGTGAAAACAAAGTCAACCCATAAAGTGATTACGTTAAACTGCTTGATGAAAAATATTTGAGGCGTTGTTGGGAAAAAAAGTTAAATAAAATGACATGGAAATTACCGGTAAAAACAAATTGAAAAATTATTGAAATTTCCCATAATTGGTGGATAACTTTCAAGTGCTTCAGATGGTCGTTTTTTTTTTTTTAGTCCTTTTTGAATGATGAACAGTTTTTGAGTAATTTACATGACATGTTATTGTTGTTTTTCGCTTCACTTTTGCATATTAAAAACGCACTCTTTTTTCGCGGGCCTGGCAAATCAATTTGTGATAAAGCCATTGCCATTGCCATTTGCATGACAATCTTCCCTTTGTTGTTGTGCACTTAAATTTTAATTAATGAATTTGTTATCGTTTATCGTCATGGTGACAGCAATTGTTGCCCCACCACTTGCCACTCACACACAGGCACACCGCTGCTGATAGCATTCTCTCTCCGCGGGGCAAACAATCTAATTGTTGGGTTCTGTCGCATCAATGCCAGTTGTTTGCCACAGCCATTGTCTGTCAGAATTTTTGACAAGTCACGCGACTGAGATGTTGCCTTAAAGTACTTGCTTTATATGGGTTAATGCACACACACACACACATACACAGACACACTGACACTTTCTCCTAATGGTTTTTGTATCATCATAAAGGTGCAGGAAATGATGCCAAAGTTGACAAAGGTTAATTGAGACCTTTAGGCGAAAATTTTAAGGATTAAGGAAATTGTTTTCAGCTTGGTTAGCGGCCAGGATCTAATGAAATTTCTGTTGTTTTTAGTTAAGTTAAGGTACGGAATTTGTAAGCAGATTTTAGTAAAATTGATTTTCAGTTTTCAGTTTTTGCTTGAGATTAAACTTCACGAAAGAGTAAGGTAAAGATATATTTTACCTTGCTGCTTGTTTCCCCTACTTATTGTACACTTTTTCAGCTAATTAGGATTATATAACTAACTATGACTAAGTTTAATTACCAGACTCTCTTCAGGGTGCAAGTGTCGCATGTCAAAAGGCCACTTGAAAATTCAGCTAACCAAAGACGAGGTAAAGCAGCAGCTTCTCCTTCAAGCTTGCCCACTTGTAGGCTTTCTTAATATTATTTTTATGGCGCTTTAATGGCTTAATTAAACAATTAACCAGCCCGGACCACGATAGTTCAATTATGTAAGCAGTTTGCCAAGATGCCAACAATTAAAAGTTCATTAGAGCGGCAAAAGCTGCATAAGTTGTTTTTGCCTTTTGCGGCCACAAAGAATCTAATTGTATATCAAGTGCAAGTGCAATTGTACAAGTGGGTTAAGCGGGCAAGTGGGTAGAGGAGAGCAAAAGTGGGCGCGAGTTTTCTGGGGGGGCTTCTGCCCCAATGAATCGAGCAGAGCAGAGCCGGCAAATACAAACACAAACACCACGCTGGGCGCTACTTGTAAACTAATTCAATTAACGTCTAAGCCGCTTAACATCATCAAGTGACCCAGTCTGCGTGGGTTCTCAGAGAATCACTGAGAATCGTTGAGAATCTGTGAGAGAGAGAGACACCCACCACCCATTTTGGACCCCCCTTTGCCAAAGCCGCTTCAAAAGAGAATGATCCACAAACTGGTTGAAATTAATACAAATTATCTAAATTAGCCAGGTATGCGAGGTACTTTAAATTTTTGCTTAATATTGCGCAATCCATTTGCCATCCGAATGCTAAATGAAAACATTCCAAAAAGCCAAAGCCAAAGGCAAAGCCAAACTCAATCTCAGGCTGTCAGGCCGTCGTTGTCACATCATCAAGTGCATTAAACTGGTTTTGCGGTTTTCTCTGAATCTCAATTGTAGGCGGAAGTTGGCGGTTGTCTCTCTCCCTCTTCCTCTCCCTCTATCACTCTTTCTCTCTTTAAAAAAACAAAAACCAAAATGAGAAATTCTCAAAAAACAGCAAAAATTGGGTTAAGCAGTTAATCATGAAGCCCCCGCTTGGCATTTGCATATTAATCAAGTTTACAATTTCCTTGTTCTTTTTCCAGAAAGCAAATTCCCTCGAACTGGCATTGAGTTAAGGTGAGTAAAATAAGAATTTCTTTTTGATTTACAAACTCTTAACAAAATAAAAAAATAGTAACAATTATTCACGGCAAATTTTCACACCATACATTTCATCAACAAGCCCCTGATAATTGGCCCCGAAAAAGTTAAAATCTCGTTAAAACCTAGTCATGTGCCGGGGCTTCTAATACAAAAAATAATTTGGTAACCCCACAAAGTTCAGGGCTATTATGCGTTGTGTCAGACGAGGCTTTAACCTGTCACACAGTCCTATATAAAAAACAACAACCCTTCACGAATATTTCAAACTATAAAAATATCTATAAAAAAGCAAAGAAAAAACGTGAAAAACCTTTTGTTTCCACACCTCACACATGGAAATGTAAATACCTTTGCTAAATATTGATCCAAAAAGAGGGGGAGAAAAGTGGGAAATACTGCGAAGTTGCTCTGTGGCTCTGGCAACAAATTGTCGATGAATAAAATGCAAATAAAACTACAACGTAATACCTGCAAACTGTGTAAATTAACAACAAAACAAGATGAAGTAGTTGGCAATTAAAAAGTGGAATTCTCTTTTCATTCAAAAACTGTTTAAATATTTTTCTTAAAAGCAAATTTAGTGGCTAGATGTAGGATGAGAAACTGAGAACTTGAAGTGTAATTGATGGGAGATAGATTTGTAGAGAAGAAAACAAATTTTTTAGCTTAAAATTTGAACAGAAATTACTTCAAATTTTGAGGTTGAAAATTTTAAATGCCAATATTAAGTAAGTCGTCTTCCCTGAATTCGTGCCTGACTTTAACACTTGCCGAAGCCACAAAAAAAGCTTCATTAACAAATTTCGTTTATTTTTAAAGCCAACAAACTTACCTTTACTTAGCACATTTGGCAAGATTATTTTTGCTGACTGTTTTGTCAATTGGTTAATATTTGTTTATAATATTTTATTCCAATAAAGTTGCTTGTAAATCGGGTTTAAAATTTGACGAAAAGCGAGGTCTTGGGCCAGCGTATTTGGATCATGCATAATCAATGACAACATTTGTGCCAACAAGAGTAGCAAATAAACATTGTTGAATTTGCCGTCTCTGTTTGGCTTGGCATATTTTAGCAAGGGGGCAAGAGCTAAGTAAATGTTTGCCAATGGCCCACAACAGCCAAGCCAAGCCAAACCAACCGGATACTGTGGATCTTTGTTGTTATCTAATCCCGGCCAATAACCATATGAGGCCTTAAAAGCACTTCAAAGCGCTGATAAAAGATGATATGCCTGGCCGCAGTTCCAGGGAATTTATTAGGGGGAAAGGTGCTCAAACTTCCCCTCTATATAATCACCAATATATCAATCAAACCGAATACTATTTACACGTGCTAAGCTATCAATGCAAATTGCTTATCACAAAACCCCTAATTAATGCCACAAATGAACAAATTGCCATGGCTAATAAATATATATACCAAAAAAAAACAGAGGACGTATTAAATCTATTCGATTTAAATGCGATACAATTAATTATTGCTCTCGCTGGCTGTGTGAACCAATAGAAATCAATAGAAAACAATTCCGAATTATTCGACATTCGAATGGATAAACATTTGCTCATATTATTTGCCTTTTGAAATGGCTAGCATGGCTAGCATGGCTGGCATGGCGTATACGCAATGTTGGCCAAATGTAAATACGGAAAAATGTATTTTTGATTCTGAAAATACGTGGTGGTGGTGTCATGGCATTTGAAAGCTGTAAATGTTGTTAATTATTATGCACATTTGACCTAGTTTTTGGGTGACACTGATCAAGGGTGGCTAGTGGGTGGTGGTAGGAGGAGGGCAGGTAAAGGGGATTTGTCAAAAAGGAAGTTGGCAATTATGAATATACAATAGAGTTTTTGGCAACATTTGCCATGTGGCATTGTCCAGCCAGCTGATTTATGCATGCCATTGTACACTCTCATTATTGTTGTTTGGGTTTTTGGGGGGGGAGTAAGAGTGTGAAGGGGGGTGGAGAGAGGTTGTGTGGCATTACCGGAATTCAAAATGAAATTCTCAGAGGTGCTTAGCAGTTTATTCAAATTTCAAATGCTAAAACCTTTTGCCACAATTGACACGCTTTTGGCTGTGCGTGCTTGCACTGAGAAATATCTTAAAAGATATCAAAGACACCTTGAAAAAGCAGTTAAAATTTAGTATTTATAAAGATTTTTAATAATTTGAAACAATAAAAGCAGTTTGAAAGGAAAAACTGGCCTTGTTACTGATATATTTCCTGAGTAAAAACGAAAGTATATCAAATTATCTTCTAATTTTTTTCTTCCTGTGCATAAACCTTATCTCGCACACACGCATATTTGGCATATATAACCCCCCAACTTGCTCCCAAAAATTGAGTGAAGCCGGAAACTTTTAGCGTTTGCCGAAAATTGAAAACGTGTGCAAGAAAACTAATTTGATGAGCAAATATCGCCCGGCCAGAGGGAGAAACTTTACTTGTAGTAAATTTGTTACATATATATATTATATTACAGATTTTTAGTTCTGGCAGCTAGTATGAATACTAGATAAAAGATATTTGTTTTCATTTTGAGAGAGGAGCGAGTTTTGCAGTGATTTTCCAGCTCAATATGTTTGCAGGGGGAATTATGCTGATTGCCTCGCGTGCAGATTCTGTTTATGCAAATGTTACGTGCAGAATGGCCAGGGAAATGCTATGCCGAAAATTAAAAACCCAGCCAAATTATGCAAATTAACTCTCGGCTGTAGCTCTAGACCCAAAGGTCAAACAAGAATAATACCAACAAGCAGCCGGGGAATACAAGGTAATTAAGCCATTTGCTTTGAGCCTCGACACTGCAATTAGCAGCGAGTTTTCTTCTGGCCACCTAGCCTCCTCCTTGCCTAGGCTTTCCGAATTAAAATGAAGGTGTCAACGTATTTGGCCGGCTTACATTTTCCACTCTCTCTAGCAAATAAAATAAAAAACAAAAAACGAACGGCGGTAAAAAGCATTTTGGTTTGGGTAAAATATGCAAATTTTATGACTCCGACATTGAAACGTGGCCATAATTGGGCCAAAAGTCGCCGTCGCAGAGTCAAAGTTTGAGGTTAGAGCTTTTGTCTTCCCAAAAGCAGATTTGGCCTGTTCCTCTCTCTGGTTTTTGTACCCCCAAAAAAGTGCCTGCAGGAAGCGCATAATTAGCTTGGCCACGTTGGTTGCATTTATTGCTGCTTGTTGGCCAAGTTTGCTCAGACTTTTTGCTTTGGTTAATTCTTTTTTTTTTGTGTTTTTTAATTGTTTTTTTTTTGTGCTGGTTATGCCTTTGTTTGTCATTGAGTTTTTGGGTCGGCTAGAAGTTTATTGCTTTCGGTTTTCAAGGGGAGTATTTTGTTTGAGTTTTGGGCCGAAAGGCGGGAAAGCAATCCTTTATCAAGCTAAATGGGTCTTAAGTTTGGGGCAGGTTTGTGTTTTCAGTTTAAGTTTGCAAGTTAAGTTAGGCTTTTTTAAGGTTATTTAGGATTCAGGTTGGGATTTTTTTAACCACAACTAATCATCAACTAGAAATTAGTAATAAATACCTGAAATTCAAAGTAAAATCCTTTATCTTTATCATAATTACTCTTCACAAATAAATCCCAGACTCGGAAAATATCGTAGGATTTGGTAAATATTTCATCGCCTCATATCCTCTAGGCATTCCAATTATCTGTGAAATTGACTACAAAACGTTCCACTTGCCTTCTTTGGCAGTTGTCCCATGGAAGCAATTTGCGTTCCGAACACTTTACAAGGTGGCCTGTCTTTACCCATCCCAGAAGCCTCTCTCTCTCTCCTGCTGCCAATCCAACCATATTCCTGTGTATATAACCTTTTAAATCTGCGTTGTCACTAGCCCAGGCACACACACACACACCCAAAGAGACACAGAGGGACACACACACAAAAGGAAAAATACATAAACTGTCATAAAGTAGCAATAATAATCCTTGAGCCTATGTCGAGAGCGTTTTACTGAATTTTTATTGACTCGACAAGCGGGACGATGAAAAGCAAGGGAAAGGCAGCCAGCCAGGCATTCAACCATTCAGACATCAAGGCATCCAGGCATCCGGGCGGGCCACTTCAGCTGTCAGGACAACAAGGACAAGCACAACAGGAGCTGGAGAAGCTGAAGAAGAAGCCTGCCAGAGAAGACAATGGCTTTGGGCCCAATAAAGAGTCGTCATCATAATTTCGTTCAGGCCGACACTAAAGTGGCGAGATTCGGCCTGAATCCGGCCGAAAGCCAACTAAACCGAAAGTAAAAGCCAGAGCCGTAAATGCCCGCTGTTTCAGGCACATAATTCGCACATTTTGACACGGCTAATGGGCGTGGCAATAAGGTTTGGGGCCTGGACTTGGACTTGGGCCACCACGGCGTATGCTTAATCATTATTTTGCCTGCGGTTCGGCAACTTCTATTGTAACATCATCATCATCACCATCAGCCATTGGGGCGAGTGTTGATTTTTATTGTTAGCAAAATTATTTTTTAATTAAATTTTTACGACACGCGTGCCCGCCCGCAGAAAAAAATAAGCAAAGCAAAGTGGGAGCGGTCAAAACTCGAATCTTGCGGTTGTCCCGCAAAACTTCTGACTGGATTTTTGTGTCTGCTATTTGTTATGGTTTTTATTTTTATTATTTTCACTTATTTTTCGGTTTGGGCGAGAGTGTTTTGCCTGTCTGGTCGCTGCGGGCTGCTTGGCGTGTTTCCCTGCATTTCCCTGCACAACAATTTTTGGGGTCAGGGATTCGGAGAGAGGAGTGGTAGTAGGGAAAGCCCCCTCTGGACAACCCTGTCTGTAAATACATTTGAACCCTTTTTCAGTCGTCGTCTCTTTTTCCAACGCTTTTCCAATTTAATTCTTTTTTGGGTTCTTTTAAAGGCACTGGCACTGGGAGTGGGACTCGGACTGGGACTGGCATTGGCTATGTGGGCGTGTGAAATGCTGAGAAAAAAGGGACACGCACATT